AAAGTATTCTATCCTCCCCTATCATCCAACCATCCATTTTTTATCAAGAGAGTCATTCACCATTTTATCTTAGATCCAATGTCTCAAAGTATTTTATTTTTTAATACAATTTTTTCGAACATGAAATTTGGTATATGCCCGTCCATTTTTTTATCAAGAGAGCCACTTACCATTTGATCTTAGATCCGATGTCTCAAAGTATTTTATTTTTAGCTTTTTTAATACAATTTTTCTGAATATGAAATTTGGTACGTGTCCTCTTCTCTTTGCGGTGCACATATAAAAAAAATTAAATCAATGATAAATTACACAACACAATTGTAATAAAAAATTGCATTAGTTGTCATATAAAAATAAAAATAATAAAAATAAAAATCAGTAATCAATGATAAATTACGCAACACAATCATAATAAAAAATTTCACACATCCCTTTTAAGCTCCACCTTATCTTAAGACATCAGTGTCATACAAAAACAAAAATAATAAAAATAAAAATAAGTAATCAATGATAAATTACACAAAACAATTATAATAAAAAATTTCACACAACATAATCTTTATAAGATATTACTAAAATATCAATTGAAATAACATACCTTTTTAGTCTCTTCCAATACCTCAAAATTTTATAATGCAATTATCCAATCTTTTAGTTTACTAATCAAACTTCTTCCCATTTTTTAACTCTTACCCTACCGATTTTGAATTTAGTATCATAAATTTATTGTTTATTTGAAATTATATAGAGAGATATTTGAAAGGCTTCTATATAAATAAATAAAAATAAGGCTTATCATAATAAAATCATGTTATTCCAATCATATTGTTCCAATGACTTATCATGTAGGCACTTAAAATAAGGAGGAAATAGTGTCATGACTGTAAAATGGTACAAGTTATTATTAGAAAATATTTTTGGAATGGTGATAATGTTATTATCAGAAATCCTTTTGGAATGGTGTGATGATGATTTTAATTAAGTATTTTAGTGGAATTTTGTGACAAAAAAGAAATAAATGATAATTCTATATTTTAATGGAATTTTGTGACAAAAAAAAAGAAGAAATGATAGTTTACAAGTACGGGCTGGTAAAATATTGGTAATGTATTTCCTATATTTCTTCTAGACATAGCCTAACAATAACAATGTATTTTGTAGGTTACATCTAAATATTACCCAAACAGTAACAATCTATTTATAGGTAATGTATTACGTAATAATATAATGTATATATCTTAGTAGTTATAGATAAAAAGATTAAGACAAATAATAACATTTGAAATACAAATAAAATAGTTTAAATATTTCTTTATTGTTAGGTTATGAACAAGGACAAAAAATGCCCAGTAAGTATGTAATGTATATATCTTAGGAGTTAACAAATACACGGATTATGTATAAAAGTATGTGTGTAGTTTGTATAGAGCCGAGGCTCTAAACAATCAAAATAAAGCCCACTTTAAAATAGTGTAAAGAAATATGGATTCAATACTGAAAATCTTTGTGATAGCTTTAAAATATATTTTTTATTTTTAATTTTAAAATTTAAAACTTTAAAAATAGTGTAGATTATTTATTTAAAAATAATGCTTTATCAACAGCATGTGTATCATTTTTTTTTCTCTCTCTCGAATCTCCTTTCTATAATTTGACTTTCCTTATAACAAACCAAATCCTCTCTCTAAACATTACCTTTTTTACAATTTTAGATTTCAAATTTGTATTGAGAAAGAAATGAATAAACTTTATTTACATGTTGATTTTTTTTCGTAACTAACAAAATTACCTTTACAGATTGTATTTCTTATATTGAATTTTTTTTTTGTGACTAACAAAATCGCATTTAAAGATTATATTTCTTATATTGATATTTTTTGGTGACTAACAAAATCGCCTATAAATATTAAATTTTTTATAATTTTGGTTTCCTAATTTTTATTAAAAAAATAAAGGGAATTGATCTCTATCCCTAACATTCTCTTCTAAAAATCTCCTATTTGTTAGTTTTTTTTCCATATATTTCTCTATCTCATATCTCTCTCATCCACCTATTTCTCTCTCTCCTCTAAAGATGGGATTCTCATAAATTTTAGGAGTTTCAAACTCTCTCATCCACTTATCTCTCTCTCTCCTCCCTTGGGTACTAATCTCTATATCTCTTTCTCTCTCTAAAGATCTCGTACTATTTCTCTCCCCCCAATGTAGGGGTTTCAAACTTTTTTTCTCTCTCATCCACGTATCTCTCCCTCTTATCTCTCTATCTATCTCTCTCTAAAGATCTCATACTGTTTCTCTCCCCAAACTCTCTCTCTCATCCACGTATCTCTCCTCTCCCTCTCTCTCCCCTTAAAGATTGGTACTTATCTCTCTCTCAAATTCTCATAGTATTTATCTCTCCTCCGAATCTCTCTCTCTAATTCTCGTACTATTTATCTCTCCTCCGAATCTCTCTCTAAAATTCTGGTACTATTTATCTCTCCTCCGAATCTCTCTCTCTCTCTAAAAGTGGGTATCTTATTTAACCCCAAGAAAAAGGGATCAGGAGAAAGAAGGAGATGGACTAGGATTCAAATTTAAAAATATATAAATCATTTAAGAGATAGGATCTATTTATATTCAAGAAAGGATTGGAACAAAAAAAAATCTTTTATTAAGACATAAAAAGCAGTAAATATATATAGATATACACGCACTTTGTTGTAGGCCCATCATTTTGTTTCATTTTAATTTCATTAAGAGTTGTTTGCACCTTGCAAGAAGGTTCTTTTTCTTCATAGATTTCATAAACTTTATAGAGTTTCAGAGATTTCAGGAAGTTTATAGAGTTGGTATGTGCTTCTTGAAACCCTGATTCTTTCTTTTCTTTTTTATTTCATTAATTCTTCTTTTTATCTTTGTTATTTACTTTCTTGATCTCAGAGATCCAAATTCTTTTGCCTTCATGTAATGAATTGTTTTTTGTTTTTTTTTAAACGGTTCTTGTAATGAATTGTTTATAAGTAAGATTATTAGTTAATTGTATTCATTAATTCTTCTTTTTATCTTTGTAATTTCTTTTCTTGATCTCAAAGATCCGAATTCTTTTGCTCTTCATGTACTGAATTTTTATTTTATTTTATTTTTTTTGTGAACGGTGCGTGGAATGCATTGTTAATAAGTAAGATTATTAGTTCATTGCATTTCTAAGCAACTTGTGATTAGGGATAACATTAACGGCCAAGATTTCTTATCTTCCAAGGGCCCACGAAAGGTCGAAAGCTGAGGAACTGGTGGTTACTGTTAAGTATAGATATACAAGTACAGATATAGACTACTAGTTTTAAAAAAATCCAAAAATTTTAAGAATTATTTTCTATTTATCCCATTTCTATTTCTTCTCTCTGATGTATATTTAATTAAAAAACTAAATTTTAATATGATCTAATAAGGCCAAATTTTAAGGAGCTTTTTAATTTTTTATTTAAAGATTTCTACAATAAAATGCAGGTTCATATTTACCTAGTTCTTATTAATAGCAATCATTTTTACCTCCTTCTTTTTAACATCGTTTCTTATTCAAATCATCAGGTTTCATCTGCGATGAAGATACTGGAAGTTATATTGACATTGAAGTCCTCTAAAGAACACCATGCAACACGATGGCCAAACAAGATTTATGCAGTTCTCGCAGTCCAGCAGGCAAAGCTGAAAACAAAGATGATCAAGACAAATCAAGATGATTTCGCATGGAAAGGGAAGTTCGTCTTCCAGGTCGAAGATTTTTTTCTCATAAAACCGGATGCATTCCTGAATCTCAAAATCTACCGCCCGCGCCGACTGCTCAGCAATGAGCTTTTGGGTTATGCAAGAACCCCAGCGAGCGGTGTGATGAGATTCGAGGGTTGGAGTTTCTCTTCCTTGCCTGTGAGCGGCCTGTCCGACATGCCTCTAGGCCTCGTCAACTTCGGTCTGGTTCTGTGGCCTGCACGACACGCTACGATGGAGTTTTTCAAGGAAAAGGGAGGGATGGAGATCTATGGATTATAGGTAGTCCACAAGAGGGATGGATGGATGGATCTTGAAGGGAAGGAGAGAGATGGAGCTCTACGGATTATAGGTAGTCCACAAGAGGGATGGATCACATGAAAGAGCTAGTAGTTATTATCTTCTCTAATAGTTTGCGTCAAAGTTCCTGTAAATCTTTTCTTTTTCGTTCTTTTGTAGTTATTCTTATGCATAAGGAAAGTAGTAAATTTTATTTGTTTTTCTTTCACTGTGAACTTCTTCTTTATTTTCTCATTTATGTGGTGGATTAGTAGATTGAAAAACTCATGATGGTTCGGTGACTTTTCCTTCTAAAGGAACATTAGTTTTTAGTTTATTACTGTTTAATGGTGCGTTGAATAGAAACCTAAATGATAAATACTTTTTTGGGAAAAGACCAATACATGTTTTCGTTGAATCATATGGTTCATTTAATCTAAAGAGATATGATTCTATACCACCTATGTGTATAGGACCCCAAAATATCACCATTAAATTTTGCACTAAAACATTCAAATTCCATACCCATGTGTGATAAGTTTTCTAGATATTTGGTGATCCTTTAAGGTCATACACACACACTTGGAGGAGGGTTACTCTTATCTAAAAAGATAAAATCCTAAAATAAGAGTAGCATGTTGGGGGAGGGTCCTATAAGATCATTACTCTTATCTAAAAAGACACACACCCTCGGGGGAGGATTCTATAGGATCATTACTCTTATCTAAAAAGATAAAATCCTAAGATGGGAGTAGGGAAAGAGTTGGCATATTTGCCCCACAAATTTATATCCTATATCGTCTCAATTACTTGTACGGAAAAGGTTTATATCCTACATCGTCAATTATTTGTATGGAAAAAGTTTTATATCCTATATCGTCAATTACTTGTATGGAAAAAGTTTATATAAGGTTGCAATCTACGAAAAAAGTTTATATAAGGTTGTAATCTACGGAAAAAGTTTATATAAGTTCTTAATCAGTAAAATTAAAGTTTATATAAGGTTGTATCTTAATCCGTAGAATTAAGGTGCACATAAAAAATTTATTTGAAAAAGGTTAGTTTTGATGAACAAGTTTATATCTTATATCGTCTCAAGTACTTGTACGAAAAAAGTTTATATCCTATGTCGTCAATTACTTGTATGGAAAAAGTTTATATAAGGTTGTAATCTATGGAAAAAGTTTATATAAGTTCTTAATCCGTAGAATTAAGGTACACATAAAAAATTTATTCGAAAAAGGTTAGTTTTGATCTTAGAAAACCCTCTATTCGAAGGTGTACATCAAAAATCTATTGGAAAAGGTTGGTTGTTTTAATTATTGGAAAAGGTTGGTTGTTTTGATGTTGAAAACCCTCTACTTGATCATCTCGACATTGAGATGTATTTTTTATCCTAAAAAATAGTGCATCTTGCAATACATTATCTAGATCGTCCATTTTCAAGATTTTAATGTGTTTATAGATCTACTTGATTTGAACCATTTTTGGAGTTTAAAAATTCATAATTAGATATGAAAATGAATTATAAGGTCACCTTAAGGATTTTTTATACTAAATTTACATCGTATGATAGATTATCGAGGTGCACCTTATTTGGATTGTTCAAGGTCACAACCTCATATAAATGACACCCATTACTTATCTCATGTATGGATTACTCATACTCTACATCTACTGTCTAATTAATACTCATAATGTATTCCAAATTTTCAATTGTACAACTTACCCTATCAAGACCACCAAATCTTTTTTAAACTATTAAGAGGTACCAATTTCCTTTGGTGACATGTTAGTTTTGGGACTAGCAATGTCCGGGCTGGCCAGGCTGAGGCAAAAGAGGCCCAGGCCCCGCCCTGCCTTGTTAGAGTTGGGTTGGGCAAAATAGAATTTAAATAATTTTTTTTAAAAAAATAATGGCATGAATAGGCCAAATCAGGCCAGCCCTGCTGTGGCCTTGACCTGGCCCGGCCCAGCTTTACCCTCGTGCTGTGGTGGCTTGGCTCTTGGGCCATATCATGTGTCCTAGGCCCTAATTTTTAGGGCAAGGTTGGACAACTAATTGGCAGGCTTAGTTAGTTATGATCACAAAGTAACCATAACATACCTTGAGATTCTACCTTAAGGCCAATTTGGAAGTCCAATAAAAAGAAATTGTTATCAAATAAAAATACGCTTTTTAAAGTACCAATTGCAAAAATACCAAGCCTTTTTTCTTTTTTTATAAAGCCGTCAGTGTTAAAGTCTATTGTTCTCTCAACGATTCTCTCCCTCAATAAGAAAGGGATAACTACGTAATTAACAGTCTCTCTCTCACCTTGCTGCGTGTTTCTCCCTCTAACCTTGATGCAACCACAAGTCCAAGAGCAGAAGAATGGAGGTGAATAAAGATCTCATTGCTTCCCTCTTCTCCTTTCCCTGTAACAAGAGACCCAAGCTAGCAAACCCGAATGGTGAATTAAAGATATCATTGCTTCTATCTTTTCTTCTCCCCTTTAACAAGAGATCCAAGCCCTTGTTATTGTTGTTCTTCTTCTCTAATCTTCTCTGCCTTATTTGAGCTTTATCTTTTACCTCTATTTTAGAGGTATGATGAGAGGCTACCCCTAGTTTTAGAAAAGAGAGAGAGACAGAGAGAGAGGGGAGGAGCTTGGTCATTATTTAGAGAGATAAACATGCTTTAGTCCAGCCTTTTATAGAACTTCTATGAACAAACAAAAACTTGAGCGTCTGTCTCTTTCATAATTTTTTTGTGACAGTTGATTTTCTTTCGAAGATTTTGGGTTCAAGTAGTTTAGAGAGAGAGTAGATTTGGGGTTTATGAGGTAGAGAAAGAGTATATTTAGGGTTTCAAAGGTAGAGAGAGATAAAGAGAGTAGATTTTGGATTTCTAAGGTAGAAAAGAGAGAGAGAGAGAGAGTAGATTTGGGGTTTATGAGGTAGAGAGAATAAATTTGGGTTTTTGAGGTAGAAAAAGAGAGAGAGAGAGAGTACATTTGGGGTTTATGAGGTTTCACGGTATGGGTTGTTGGGTAATAAGGTGGGGTTTGCATGGGGGTGAGAGAGCCATACTTTCATAAAAAAAAATTTCAAGTCTGACTTGATGTTTTTTATTACGGTAACTTTTATTTTGATACTGCAGAATTTTTTATTTCAATCTAAAAATCTAATAAATTTTTGTGGTTATCCAAATGGTTTAAATCTATTTCACAATATTTTTGGATTGCAATCCAAAAATATTCCAATTTTGGGTACAACTTAACCATTTCAAAATATCTTTTTTTGCTTTTTTTGGAAAGGAAACCAATAAAAATTCTAAGGATGGGCTCACATCCTATTCATACCAACCATAAGAGCTAATGTCAACTTCATTTACCTAAGCTGATGTCAAATTTATTTACCTTTGTCATGTTGGGTTCATGTGGCCTTTAAAGGCCTTATGAGTGCTTATAAAATGAAATGATATAGTGGAACATGAACTCAGTGGGAGTGTGGTCCCTCGTGGGTCATACTAAGCAAACGATGTTTGCAGATACCGGAAGGCCAGTCGGTTGGAAAAAACCCATGTTACCTGGGCATAAAGAACAAACTGAGAAAGGTTCTAATGGGTTAGCCCTTGATGAGGTCAGAGAATATGTCCGGATGAGTGAGCCGAGGGACTGTGCGACCCTTGTGTGTGATGGTGGCCTACAGAGATAGGAGCCAAAACCTCATCTATGTATCATCACACGGCATGCATATCGATAGATTGTTTGGAAAAGCTAGAAATCCATCTTTTAGGGTGAAGCGTATGCATGTGCGAGAGATACCCTTATGCGCCATAGAGCTGTGGTCGCATAAGGTCTGGGTGACCTTGACTTGTCTCTAGGGGAGGACCTGAAATCCACATACTGGGTTGCGATCCCTTGGCTCATCGACCGGACTTTGGTGACCCGCTAATGAGCCCGTGCTTGGACTGTAGGTAATGGGAAACACTGTGTTGGTCTGATAAAGCAAGTGTGGTTTGTAGTCCACAGTTGAAGGCGTAATGCCCCATGATTGTTGATTCCTAAACCATATGGATCCTTTTCCCATCAAATTAATTTAATTGTGTTTGTTTTATGATGAAAATTATTTTAATATTATTATTTGAATTTTTATGAACCCCTAGATATTTTATTCATAGTTTTTGGATTTATAAAACTAAAGATTTTGATTTTACAATTGTTTAAATATTCAAATACTATTCTAAATTTTTTTTATTAATTTTAAATATATAAAAATATAATGGGGGCTCATTGTGCACATGGGCCCGCCATATTTTTAAAAGGTGGGGCCCATGAGTGCCTCCCTTGGGTGGCACGCCCCTCTTTCCTATTTTTTGGTGATATGACATGTGGCCATATGGTTGGACGATATTGACTTGATATATCTTTGACAGATTTTGTGGAAATATTGAGTAGACTTGTGCTATTTTATGGTATGCACAATATTTTGATTAGATTTATTTTATTTAATTTCTATTGATGAGAAAATGGTTTAGAAAAGGGGGATAATGGTTCATGCATCTTCCATAATATTGATGACCGATCTATGGAATGGATGGCTCAGATCTTTCATCCCATAAGTCACTATTGATCGACGGTCTATGTTCAATCTCACAAGAAGAGGCAAGCCAAATAAACCCTAAGAAACCCTAATCTTATTCAAAGCATATAAAAAAGGATTGTCTCTACCAAAAAACCTCTACACCTTATCTTTTTATCTCTCTCTCTTAAAAAAAATTATCTCTCTCATATTTTATCTCTCTCTTCCACATTATGAAAGAACCTAAGGATTTAAGTTATGGAGTTATTCTGTCCTATATGGATTTTGACTAAGGGTTTTAGGGTTTAGCAAAAAGAGAATCCATCTCTATCAAACTAGGTTGCTAAGATAATTCACCTAGGTTTTGAGTTTATGATCAAAGGGTTTCATGTTCCATTGGTGTGGCTTGGCCGAAATTTATTTTCTCGGTTCGAGATTAAAGCTAGACTGTTGATCCCGCACCATCGGATGGTGGTGATTCGGTGTGAGGTGTAATAAGCCCGGTTCAGGTAATCTCCGGCACTCTTCCTTTTTGTTTCTTGCAAGCTTGTCTTTCATTCTCAAGCATAGTACATAGTTGTTTCAATGTCATCAAGTTGTTAAGATCTTGGTTTTATTGTTATGTTGATTTTATTTTGAAATTTATCTTATTATAATAAAGACC